GTTGTTCCAAGCCGAGGGGGTGAGCGAGCTGAACTCGGGGTAACCTCATTCATGCGCGGAAGAGCGAGAGATGAGGGGTGCGATAAGCTGAGTGGAGCTTCGGGTTTGACTTGGGGGTATGCGATGAGATTAAATTTGGTGGAGAGTGATGAGATTCATATGCCGAAGGGGTATTGGTGATACCCCGAGTCGAATGAGAAACCCGGAGGGAGTTGAGAAAGGCTCGGCTGGGCTTGCTAGGCCGAGGAACAAAGTGACCCCCCAGCTCTCAGCATCTCTGATTTATAAGTTTTTTTTTTTAGCTGTTGAATGATAAATGCTGAGAGGGGGGAGGTCGCGTCTGGCCGAGGGCCTGCTGTGCGGGCCGAGAGGGTACCATGCTGGCCGAGGGGGTACCATGCTGGCCAAGGGGGTAGCTGGTCTGGCTGAAGGTGTATCATACCCGGCTGACGGGGTGAGGTTAGCGCTGAAGGTTGAGTTTTAGAGTGAGAGCTTGGGGAAGCCGAGGGAGATTTGAGATGTGAGGTTTTTTTGGAGAGAATGTTGAGTGTTGCACCTCGATTTGCCGAGGGATGTGAAGGGTGCCGAAAGGGTTAACGCACATGCTTAGGGGGTCACGTGTGCGCGGCTAATGGAGTTTGAGAGATAGGGAGTGCCGAGAGCTATACCAACTACCGAGAGGGGTGAGTTGATTTTCGCTTGGTGTGCAAACCCGAGGGAGAGAAAGAGTGGAGTCGAGGGGTGTATCGACTGCCGAAGGGGTATACTTAGAATGGATGAGAGAAGTGACAAAGGCCTGCTATGCGGGCCTTGGGACTTGCTTGTGTAGGCCTAGAGCTGTTAGGCCAGATAGGGGTCATTAACGTGAGTAATGGAGGCAACTACCCACTGGCCGAAGGGGGTGCCGCGCGCCATGGGTCTTCAGTGGCAATAATGAGGATCTTAATGGGCGGAGAGGCCGAGGGAGATCCTTAGTATTTTCGTGTTTAGAGTTTTTGTAGTTATATTGGTTTAGTTTATTTGTATTTTGGGGAGGTTAGGGAAGTGAACTTGGGTTTTGAGAATTTTTAGCCGAGGAACATATTTAAGGTAGCAATGAGGGAATAAACCGAATCCCCTGAGAAAGAGAAAGCTATGGCCGAGGGGGGTGAAGGGTGTCGAGAGGGTTAAAGTGCTATGCCAAGGGTTTGAGATGCTACCCTTAGCTCTCGGCCTTAAACCCCTAGGGCAATTTTTTGGATTTTTTGTTTTTATCTCTACTAGGCTCGATGCTCTTGAGATTTTTCTAACTCTTGAATTTTTTGTTGACATTTCAGGAGTATTTCTCTCCGGGGTGCTTGATTAGCTTCAACATAATTCCTTTTGGCCTCTTTGAGAAATTGGTGAGTCTTCTATACTTAGTTTTTCATGCTTCAAGTATCATGTCTCCATGCTTAGTAATTGTTTGTTATTTTTTCCTTGTATGCTTGATTGTTCCTCGGCTGCGCTTGTGATGATGTTAGGGTTAGAGGTACGCTTGTTGTATTTTTTTATGTACATTGAGAATTCCTCGGGGTAGTCTTGAGTTGAGCTATGCATATATCATGAACGACCAAGCGACTCAAGATTACCTTGATTCTCTCCCCGGCCCTTCATCTTATGATTTGTCTAAGGAAATTTGGGCGGGAGGAGTACTTGTAAGAAATGTAATTGGTAGTAGGTTGATTCTGCTGTTCCTTTGGGTGTGCCTTTTCAATGTGTGCCATCCCCACCCCCCGAGCATGATTTAGGCTTTGATTATTTTTTGCCTCCTTCCCCTTAGGAAGTTTCTCCTGCACGTGAACCGACTTCTAGGGGTTCTTTGAACAGATTTCTTATTGACGGAGTGGTGACAATGTCAAGTGAGGATGATACTTCTACTTCTCTTGGGGCGCCAGTGACTTTTAAACCACCAGTTAGGAGAGTTAGCCCTTCTATGTGTCACCCTTCCGCTACTTGGCTTAGATCTTTATATGAGGGTACTAGACATTTGCAGACTGAGTACCATATTAGGGAGCCTTTTCTCATTTCCTCTCCTGGGTGTGATATCATCATAGATAACCCTCCCCCTGGGTGCATAGTTGTATATAGGCAATGTTTAGACAATGGGTTGAGATTTCCGCTACACCCTTTTGTTGAGGAGTTGTTGATCGAGTATAACCTTAGTATAACTCAGCTTGTTCCTAACTCCTGGTTGACAATAAACGCGTACATAGCCACTTGTAGTCAACTTGGAGCCCCTTGCACCATAACCGCCTTTAGGTACACACATAGGCTCCAGGAGGCCCCAGGTAATGTAGATAGCCATGGGTGGTATGCTTTTCACGATAGGGAGTTCTATCTTTCTATAAACACTAAACCCACGAGTCAGAAGGGCTTTCACACACCTTTCTCTTCATTTACCATGCTGGGGGTTGGAGGGTTCCCCGAGATCATAGCGGTGCGCCTAGGGTTGGCTTGAACTACAATTTTCCTGCCATGGGAGTTGATAAGGCCGTAACGGTTGTTTGGTTGCAATCATATAAGGAAAGAGGGTCCAAGGAGAAGCTTCCCACCATGTGGATTTTGAAGGATAAACACTTTCGAAAAGAGCGGTTTTTGAGTGTTGTGGGCCTGAGCCACACCTATGATAGTGGTAGGATTTATTTTTGTTTACATATGTTTTTCTCTTTTATAATTTCTCCTGAGCCTTGTTGTTCGCTAACAAACTTGTGCAAATGATGATTTCAGGTGTTGCTTTCAAGCAGTTGACAAAGAGGTTTCAAAAGAAGATGTCAGAGGTGAACTTTCGAGCTGGAAAGGTCAAGGTTTCCATGAGGAAAGGAAACATGAGCATTCCTCCTCCTCCCCATGTATGCCCACTTCTCTAAGGTTGGTTTTCATGAAATGTTGCTTTTTTGCTAACTTCACTTGTGATTTGTTCTTTCAGAACCCGAATAACTTAAAGTTAAGAAGGAAAACTACTGAGAGGGGAGAAGGATCTTCCCAAGCCACCAGCATGGAGATAGACGATCAGGGGTCTCAGCTTGTCTCCCCGACCAGCTCCACTTACATCAAGCTCCTGGAAGCCGAGGGCTTTGGGGATCAAGGAAAGCAGCCTCGGGTGGAGGAGAGCGAGGAGAAAGGGGGAGAAGATTGCGAGGACATGACTCCTTACTTTCCTAAATCTCTCCTTGGCATCACAAAGAGGGGCCGAAAGAAGATGGTAAAGAAAACGATGGTCCGCTTCCCTTCGGCGAAGGATATTGAGGTGGTAAAGAAGGATCCCACCAAGGCTATTTCTTCGGCCTTCGATGGTGTCTTGAAGGTATATTTTGCTATATAACATCCAATTTCTCTATCTTTAGTTTTGTTTGTATTTAACCATCATCTTCTTGTCTTTTTGGAATGTAGGCAGGCATGACTCTAAGTGTGCTCGCCGAGGAGTACAGGAAGGAGGCTTTGAAGGATGTTGAGGGCCTCCGTGCTGAGCTTTCAAAGGCTAGGACCGAGATCCACGGCCTCAAGGAAGAGCTTAACTCGGCCTGAGAGACGGTTAAGACGACCAAGAAGGAGCTTGCTGATGCTCAGGAGGCCGGGACATCCCGCATTTAGGCCCTTGAGATTCAGCTCAAGGAGGCTAAGGAGGGGAAGGAGTTGATCTCCAACGAGCTAAAGGAGAAGGACGAGCTATCCCAGATGAAGAGTGATCTTGCGCAGGCCCAGAGGAAGGTGAAGCAAATCCAGGAGGAGGTGATTGCTGAGTGGAAGAAGTCTCCAACTTGAGCTGATTTCCGGTCTGAGATTGGATATGTGGCCTTTGAGGCGGGGATTGAGGATGCCCTGACTCATATGCAGGTTGCCTTTACTTCTTTCGGTCTCCAGGATTCATACCCCAAGGTACGAGGTAAGATTAAGGACCTTGTTCGCGAGGCCGATGAGGAGGAGCAGAGGAAGGTGCTTGCTGAGGAGGGTGAGGCCGATGAGTAGCTTCTCCAGCCCTTTGTTTTTTCTTAACCAATTTCTTTAGGATGTCTTCTTTTCATGAGACTTGTGATATTTTTGTTGGAACTTTGAATCTCTAGCTTGGCTTGTATATTTGCACATTCGGCCTTTACCTTTGATTTTCTTATTATGTGGATTTCATGTGCTCTTACTCCGGCTTGCTTATTATTTAACACTTGCTTATTACTTGCTCATTCACCCCTAGGGGCAAAAAAGAAGCCCCTAGTGCTTATTGAGTAGCTTTAGCATGCTATTGTTGTTTCACGAGGGCTAAACGAGCCTTATGTTATTTTTGTAAGGACGTGATTTGTGTGAACATCCGGGGGCTAAATGAGCCCCAAGTTATAATTTAACTAAGTAAATGGACTAGGGGCTAAACGAGCCCCAATTTATGAGTGATATGAGAGTCGGGCTATCCCTGCTTATTATAACAAAATGAAACGATTTTGGGGCTAACATAAGCCCCAAGTTGTAAGTAATATAAGAGTTAGGCCTTTCCAACCTTTTAAATTAGGCTGGGGGCTAAACGAGCCCCAAGTTATGAGTGAACTTTTGGCCAAGACTCTATCTCAAATGATTGAGTATAGGCTAGCATCTTGCCCCAAACATTGGAATAAACTTTAGTGTTAGCGAACCAAAATGCCTTATGCCCGGCATGTGGTGCTATTAAATGAACGTTGGCTATGCTAATGAGCGATATAAAAGTTTCAAAAATAAACTAAGTAAACAACAAATAACAAGTGCAAAATAAATGGGGTAAACATCCCAACCGGGGGTTTTTCATTATATTAACAAAAATATGAAAGTCATTACAATGATGTGCTATATTGAAGTTGATCACCTAGCATCGGCTCTTATTGCCCCTAGGGCATCATTGTGATGAAGATGCTTTAAACATAAAACCGTCGGAGGTTGTCAACATTCCATGGCCGAGGGAGGTCCTTGCCATCAGGGGTTTGTAAGCAAAAGGTTCCCGGGCGGACTACTTCTTTAATCTTCTAAGGCCCTTCCCAATTAGGTCTTAGCTTGCCCAATGCCGGGGGCTTTCCAGTAGCCTCACACTTTCGGAGCACCCAATCACCTTCAACCAGGGGCCTTGCCTTGACTTTTTTGTTGAAATAACGAGTTATCCTTTGCTTGTATGCTATAGAGCGAAGAAAAGCATCTCCCCTTATCTGTGGGAGTAAGTCTAAGGTCAAGGGCTTCAGCTGATCATTTCGATCAGGGTCATAGAAGGTAACCCTGGGGGATGGGATCCCAACTTCCACGGGGAGCACTGCATCACTCCCATATACTAAGGCAAAAGGGGTTTTCCCTGTAGCTTCCTTGATTATGGTACGAATGGACCATAAGATCCCGGGCAAGTCATCCAGCCAAGACCCCTTCGTGCCTTCCAGCATTGTCTTCAATCCTTTCAATATTTTTTTATTTGTCGCCTCTGCTTGGCCATTTGTTGGGGTCGACACACAGCTGAAAATCTTGTCTTGATCCCAAAACGCCCAAAATACTCTATGGTTGGCCCACTGTTGAATTTCCGGCCATTATCTGAGATTAAGATGCGGGATACCCCGAAGCGGGTGATGATATTCCTCCAGATGAACTTCTAGACTTGCTTATCGGTTATTGTTGCCACCGGCTCGGCCTCAACCCACTTGGTGAAATAATCCACCGCTACTATTAGAAATTTCCTTTGTCCCGAGGCTACGGGGAATGGCCCTAGGATGTCCATGCCCCAACGATCAAAGGGTAGGATTGACTGAATACTTGTGAGGGCGTATGCCGGAAAATTTCTAACACTTCTTGACAATTTCGGCAGCATCATTCCTCAGGGTTGGCCAATAGAATCCGGCCCTCAACACTTTTCAAGCTATGGTACTTCCACCCTGATGGCTACCACATGCCCCTTCATGAATTTCTCTAAGGACGTAATTCCCCTCCTCCGGGGTTATGAACTTCAGCAAAGGATGAGTAAAGGATTTTTTGTAGAGGACCCCATCATGAAGTAAGAACCACTCACTCCGCTTTTTGATCATTTTGAAGTCGAGGGTATCCTCGGGCAGCTCCCCCTTTAAGTATTGAATGATTTGGTCCATCCAAGTTTCCCCTCTATCAATATCCATGACAGCAAGTTTTTGGGTACTTGGCTTCTCTAATACTTCCCACATGATATTTCGGGGGGCTATCCCCTCAGCCAAGCTTGCTAATCGGGCAAGAGCATTAGCTTGCTGATTCTCCGAGCGGGGGATGTGCCTGATCTCAAAGTTGTCAAACGATCTTGTCAAGCTTTCAGCCTTTTCAAAATAGGCTTTCATGTTTTCCTCCTTCACTTCAAACTCCTTTGCCATTTGTCCCATTATGAGCTGTGAGTCTGAACACATTTGAACGGATTTTATCTTCATGAATTGGCACAAGTTTAGCCCCAACATAAGAGCCTCATACTTAGCTTCATTATTTGATGCATGGAAAGAAAACTTGACTGCATATTCAAAATTTTCTCCCTCCGGGGAGATGATAACTAGCCCAGCTCCACTCCCTGCCTTACTAGACGACCCATCCACATAAAGAGCCCAAGGGGTGGAGGTGTCTATTGGAGTAGGCCTATGAGCGCATTCAGCTATAAAGTCGGCTAAGGCTTGGGCCTTGATGGCCTTCCGGGGCTCAAACTCAATTCCGAAATCAGCTAACTGATCCGACCAATCCGTCATTTGGGATGCATGATTTTTGCTCTCTAACACTTTCTTGATTGGTTGGCTGGTGAGGACTTTGATCGGGTGTGCTTGAAAGTATGGCTTTAACTTCCTACTTGCCATCACTAAAGCGTACACCACTTTTTCTATGAGAGTATACCGGGTTTCAGCCCCCCTTAGGGCATGGCTGACAAAATAGAAAGGTACTTGGCCTTCATCTCCTTCCGCAACAAGAACCGCACTCAGGGCATAATCTGATTTGGCCAAGTACACAAACAATGTCTCCCCGGGGAGGGGGCTAACAAGCTTCGGAGTGTTCATCAGATGTTCCTTCAGCTGCTAGAAAGCTTTCTCAGCTTCTTCATCCCATAAGAACTTAGGCCTCTTGAAGGCCTTGAAGAAAGACAAACTCTTATCAGCTGATCGGGATAGGAACCTCCCCAATGCGGCTAGGCAGCCTGTAAGGCGTTGCACTTCCTTCACATTTCTGGGGGATTCAATGTCAAGGATAGCCTGAATTTTATCGGGGTTGGCATCAATGCCCCGCTGATTAACCATGAAGCCCAAACACTTTCCACCTTGCACCCTGAAGACACACTTGCTGGGGTTAAGCTTCATTTTATATTTTCTAAGGGTTGTAAATGTTTCCCTTAGATCAACTATGTGGTCCGAGATTTCCTTGCTTTTAACAATCATGTCATCAACGTAGGCCTCCACGTTCCGGCCTAGCTGTCCTTTAAAGATCTTATTCATCAAGCGCTGGTAGGTAGGCCCGACATTTTTCAGGCCGAAGGGCATTACATTATAGAATACACCCCCTGGCTAGTGATAAAGGCTGTGTGGGCTTGATCCTTTTCTGACATGGGGATCTGATGATACCCCGCATTGGCATCCATGAAGCTTAGGAGGGCGTGACCAGCGGTCGAATCCACCAACTTATCAATCTTAGGCAAAGGATGATCATCCTTCGGGCATGCCTTGTTCAAATCAGTAAAATCCACACACATACGCAAAGAACCATTGGGCTTCCTAACCAGCACAACATTGGACAACCACTCGGTGTATTGGCATTCTCGAATGAAACCCGCTTTGAGAAGCTTTTTAACATCAACGGTTTTGGCTTTGTTTCTCTCCGGCCCAGCATGTCGGAGTTTTTGCTTAATGGGCTTGTAACCCTCCTTGATGTTCAGCTCATGAGTCATCACCACGGGGTCTATGCCCAGCATTTCATCTGCTGTAAAAGGGAAGATGTCTTTGTATTCTCTAAGTACTTGAATAATTTCTTCCTTGAGCTAGGGGTCCAAGTTCTTTCCCACCCTCACGGTCCGAGCGGGGACATCCCCTAAGGGTATGCTCTCATCCTCTTCAATAGGCCTATGCCTATCGTACTGCTTTAGATTCTCAGCCATGTAGATGCTCATGACCGGGTGTAGGGATTCATCAATATCCATCGCCTTTCTCTTGGCCCCCTTGTCTTCTTGATTGACGAAGCTCTCAGGTGACTTCATGCTATCTACATAGCATTTTCTTCCCTCGAACTGATCTCCAAATATCTTGCCCACCGATCCGTCATCGGTCTCGAATTGGAGGAGCAAGTGATAGGTTGAGATGGCAGCCTTAACCCTACTGAGAAGGGGTCGGCCAAGAATCATGTTGTATGGCAGAGGGGTATCCACAACTAAGAACGTGTGAACCAAACTTCTTCCCTTATTCTTTTCCCCCAAACGAACAGGAAGCTTGATCGTTCCTAAGGGGTACACGTAATGCCCCCCAAATCCCACTAAGGGTTTCTCCAGGGGTGTAAGCTCACCTCTTCCAAAACGCATTTGCTCGATGCATTTCCATGTGATGATGTCTGCTGAACTTCCACTATCTACTAAGATCTTCTTTACCTTAGCATTGGCCACCTTCATATGAATTACTAAGGGGTCATCATGAGGCCTTTGAATCTTTTTTCCTTTATCATCCCCGAATACCATGAGGGGGTCCTTTGGGGTAGATGAGGGAGTGCCGATATCATAGATGGGCTCTTCGAGTGACCGCAAGTGACTTTTGCATGCCCTGTTAGACAAACCCCCGGAGGCAAACCCTCCGGCTATGACATTGATGCTCAAATTAGTGTCAGCTGAGCTATGGGCTTCTTGCACTTCCTTGGAAACGTTGCTTTGCTTATCCTTCGGAGGGGACTTGAGATATCTGTTAAGCGTTCCTTCTTCAGCTAGCTTGTCAAGGGCTCTCTTAAGCTCTCTGCAGTTCCAGGTTGTATGACCACACTCCTTGTGGTATTCACACCAAAGCTTCTTGTTCCTCTGCTCTATCGACGTGTTCATGGGGTTAGGCTTAGGAAGAATAGCCTTGTGCTTTATGTCCAAATAGATCTCACGCCTATCAACATTGTACTTGAGTCCTTCATCATCACTCTCAGCCCTCTTCGGCCTTCTATTCCTGTTATAATGGTAGTTATCTTCTTGCTTCCTCTTCCCCTTGTTGTTTGCTACGGGCGCCTTCCACACCTCACTAGCTTTAATAATCCTTTCAGTTCTTTCCATGGCTTCAGAGAAGGTGCTCACCTTGTCATGGACAAGTTCAAACTTCAGTTTGTTATACTTGAGCCCAAAGAGAAGGGTTGTGAAGGCAACATTGTCTTGGAGGTCGGGGATGAATTTAGACTCGGTGTTGAACCTCTTGATGTAGTCCTTAAGACTTTCATTCTCCCCTTGCTTCACCGTCATAAAATGAACGCTAGTCGTTGTTTGCCTACTCCCAGCGATGAAGTGCTTTTTGAATTGAGTAGCTAACATGTCAAACGTTCTTATGCTCCCGGGGGTAAGGTTGTTAAACCATGTCTGAGCTATTCCCTTGAGAGTAGTAGGGAATAATCTAGACCATGAGGCTTCACACCCGGTTTGGACTCCCATCTATGCTTTGTAAGCGTTCAGATGGTCTGTTGGGTTTGTGTTTCCATCATAAGGGTCCAATGTAGGGATCTTGACCTTAGGAGGAATGGGGGTATTCATTATCTCCTGGCTGAAGGGGATAATGTTCTTGACAATCCCGAGCCTCCGTGGCCTGGGGGAGGAAGGACGCTCAGGGCTTTTGCTTGCTGAATGAGTGGGCTGAACGGTTCCTCTTCTCGGTTTGGAGGTAGCTGAGTGAATCATGCTATCTCGGTACCTTGTTGACCCATGCCGAGAGTGAAATCTAGTTCGACCTCTCTGGGGGGGGGTTATTATCTTCCTTGGAGTTCTCCCTCCTGGAGTTGATTATCTCTCGGGCATCTAGAGTGTCATCCCTTAACCTTCGGTCATTGATGATTTCTCTAGCATCTCTTGGCCTGCTTGGCTGCCTTGTCTCCCGCTGGGGGGGTCAGGGGACTGATTGGGTTGAGAGCGACGAGATGTCTGATGCTGAGGCCGAGAGGAGGCTTGATGGAGATGAGACACATGAGGTGGAGGGTTAGGCTGTGGAGCGCTCCCCTGCCTGCCTTGCCCCACCCCATGGTTGACAAGTGCCCTGAGGATTTCCTCCAGGTTTTTGTTGATCTAGGCTGCCAGCTGGTCCAAGTCTCGGCGAGTGACCACCTGGGGGCTGTTTACTTTTCTCTCGGGTTCACTACGAGCCATGTGTATTATCTCCTCGACTATGTGAGCATTCCTAGCCGAGAGAATTGGAGCTTGCCTAGTAGCATCTTGATGAGTGCTGCGGGGACGCCTAGTGTTCACCATGACTTCTTGTTAGTTATCCCCACAAACGGCGCCACCTGTTTCTGGAAACAGAATGCTCCTGGGAGTCTTAGGGTAGTAAAGGTAATCAAGATGTCCTAGAGTTATGTCCAATGAATGTCCGAATTTCCCTCCGCTATGCCTTGCTGTCCAAGAGCTAGGCCTACAAAAGAGAAAGACTGCCCCGAGGGTATGACCCGGGAAAGCCCCTCCGATGCTTAAGTCAGCGAATGTAATTTCTAGAGAGAGAAAGTAGAGTGAGAAAGAGTACTTTAGAGAGAGAAAGTAGAGAGAGAAGGTTAGAGAATTAGGAAAAAGTTACCATCATCAATGATTGGAGAGCTATTTATAGATGTACTTTCAGGTGGCAGAAATTGTACTTAATTGGACAGATTAGGGGTAAATTCGTACTTTGCTCTGACTAATGATGGGCTGGATCATGGAGGGGTATTTTCGTAATTACAGGTCAATGGGCTTAGGACAATGGACTAAGCCCAAACAGGCAGAATATCATGTGATTCATGTCAACTCAATAAGTTATGGTATCTAGTATGTTGTTGCCTCTCGTTTTCTCTCCAGTTTCTGTAAGATAATTAGTGCAGAGCCTTCTTTAATTTTAGCCACTCACATTAAAAAGAAGAATAATTAGTGTAAACCTCTTATAAAATCACTAGACGGTAAAGAGAATTAAGTGAACCTTTTCCAAAAGTAAAACTTCTAATGTTCATTTGACCATGGGATCCCAAAAAGAAATTCAGAACAATTAATGAGAATCATATTTTCATTTCATTTTTTTGTTATGGGTAAGGGTTGGTATTATCAAAGACAAGGAACCAAAGAGAATAGTGGAATTTATGTCAGCCTCCTCACTCTAACATATCATAGTCCCATAACAGAGGTTTCGTTTGGTACTTTCTTAACATGTCCTCCATAAACTTTTGCTTTTCTCTTTTTATAGTTCTACTAGAAAATTACTATACAGAGAATCAGAAACCAAATGTATGTATGAGGGGTTTTATATTGATAATACCTTTAGCTAAACTTAATATACATATGGAAGGGATTTATTGAGACATATGACGCCATTTCTACATTACAAGCTTGCTACTTATGGCATTATAGTTTTTACAAAATACCTGTAAAGTTGTATTGATGGTTAATATAGTGTTCAAAGTTGTATGATCCTCACGTGTTAATATTTTCTGTTAAATAGAATTGTTTGGATCAAGTAGGAGTTTTAATTTGGATTTGTGATTGATAAGTGACTTTTATGTCACTTTTAGGGTACTTTTATGCTTATTTTCCGGTTTAGTTTCTAATAATTTCCCTAGTTTTACGCTTCATTTCTCTCTTTTTCTTATTTTCCTTAGTTGATCTTTATTTTATGTATTTCAGTAGTTTTTAATAGTTTTTAGCTTATTTTCTTAATTTATTTAAATTTTCTTATTTTCTATGTTTATATTTAAGTTTTTAGTTCTTGTTATATAATAGTAAAACAAAATATGATGAGTGATATTTATGTCAATCTTAGGAAGTAGTTGATGAGTGACATTTATGTCACGCTTAGGGTAGTGTTTATGCTTTGTTTTAGCTTGTCTT